GAAAAACATTACATTCACTCTAATTTTATTAATCAAAATTTTAAAAGCTTATTAACATTTTACTTAAAATATGATTTTAGTACAAAATAAAAAGGAAAACACAATAAATAGCAGCAAACGATAGATTTGTATACATTTTTTGTCACATCACCATTTGAAATTATCTGTTAGAAAAAGACTGAACTATTTCCTCATTGAAACAGAAAAACAGCAAAACAAAGAGAGAAACATGCTAAGTAACATAAGTGATCATATTAGCTCAATTCTTGGCTTTCAACTTGGACAGAATAGTATTGTAAATTAAAAAAAAAAAAAAAAAAATTCTAATGACACCAAATATAAACACATAACTAGTTATTTTAAAACAAATAGATTTACTAAAATTTCACAGTGGAGTAAAATTTTTCAACATGCATTTACCCTTTCTTAACTAGATTGCAAATGGACTAAATGATAACATGTTTAGGAAAAAAAAAAAAAAAAACATTACATACAAATACACAATAAAATAAGTGAACCACCCAGAATACGTTATGATCTAATTATCAGATCTTTACATTCTAATGGTTCAAGGCGATCTCAAATATGCTAATTAAGTAATGCAGACGATATTCTAAATTACGAAATCTGACACAAAACTGAACCTGAGTAGAAATACCTTTTTGTTTCAGACAGAATTCGGTTCCTGATCCTTAAAATACAGGAGATAACCGAAATCTGGGAAACATTAACAAAAGTTTGGCCAGGAGAGTGGTCCAGTTTGAACCCCTAAATGATAATCTTCTGTGTATTTTACCATATCTTGGGAACATGGGTGCCACTCAAAAAATTTCTAGACAATTTTTTTGACAGATTATTGTGATCTAGTGTTGTTTACCAAAATTTTCAGAAACGTAAAGCTCACCGACTCCAAAATGTATCTTTCCATAATAATAGCACATATATTAAATAATTATTTGATTTTTTTTCATTATGTTAATTTATCTTTTCATAGCAAACAGACAAAAAATAGTTAACCTTGTAGATTTTTTTACACCACTCACAGGATAACGAATCACAAACTTTTTCATTAAGTTATTCATATGTCTGGTCCTATCTCTATAATTAAAAAAATAATAATGATAATCTTAACTTTGTTCAAAATGATAAGGAAAAATGAAAACTCAAACAAATTTAGATAAGACAATTGTACAAATTTTGTTTAAGCAAGCAAGCGCTGAAGTTCCATCAATCAATTTATTTCATTGCAATGCAACATCATTACTAGATCAGTTCACAATCATGCAAAATAACATTTTCATTAAAATGTAATAATTGTACAAAACAGGCATGAAAGTGACAGGAGGAGGGAGGGGGGAGAGTGTTCCATTTAATACTGTGATATTGAGGAGATATATATAAAAGTAAATTTTTTTTATTTAGTATTTTAAGTGACAGAAGCATCTAGACAGTGAAAAAAAAATTTTTTTTTTAAATAAAATTTTGATTACTACTATATTAAAGAAAATTAAGCAATTATAGAAAGTTGCAGCTTAATTATCATTTTAAATTAAAAATTACCGGACAATCATTTTAAAATAAAACAGTCTCCAACTTTCACCTTAATCTCTTCCGATAGATTGTTACTAACTATTTTAGTCACTTTGACTGTTGGACCAATCAAACTTGAATTTATTTTTTTCGGTAGCATCAACTGTACGTACTTTGTGTTAGTCTTTTAAATTGACTACCATCGTTAAAATACATTCATGTTACTACATTGTTTTTAAAATTGAGTGAATATGAATCGCGATATTGAATTTTAAAACCGCGTGAATATGAACTGCGAAGTATGATTTCAAAATCGCGTGAATAATAATCGCAATGTTGGATTTCAAAATCGCAGGAATTAAGAATCACGATATTGGATTTCAAAAGCACGAAAATACAAATTGCAATATTGAATTTTTAAATCGAGTAAATATGAATCACGTTGCATAATTTTTAGATCCCATCAATACTTATCACAACGAGTAATCGTTAAATCGCGTATAAATACAAAAAATCTATGTTTAATATTGCAACCGCGGGATAACGAATTGCAATATAAAATTTTAAAAATATGTGAATACGAATCGCGACATTGGATTTTAAACTAACGGGAATACGAATCGCGATATCGGGTTTTAAAAACGCTTAAATACAAATCGCGATATTGGATTTTTAAATTGCGTGAATGGGAACTGCGAGTACGATTTTTAAATCGCTTAAAAATGAATCCTAAGTAACTTTTAAATCAGTCAAATACGAAAATCAATGATTTGCATAAAAATTAGTCTGCCTAAGAATCGCAACTTTAGCATGTTCCGGCATAGTTCCTAATATTTAAGATTATGAAAATCGGCCAAACAAAAGAAATCAAATATCAGCGGCCAAAACGAAGCTGCTTAGAACTCTTTTTCCAATCTATAGTGGAAGTCACAGTTGTTTGGAGGCTACTGCAGTGTGTGTGTGTGGGGGGGATTCAAGTTTGACTATTGTTCGGACTGCCTGAATTTCTCTTATTGGACTCCCCCAAAATTTAAGTTTTTGGAAAATGGTCGGAAACTTTAAAAATTGGGAGAAAAAAGCGGATTTCCGCTTTTTTAAGGAAGTCTTTCATCCCTGATAAAATTAAATTAAGTTAAAAAAAATTTTGTTTTACATCACCTGTAAAATTTTTTTACATCATTTTAAAAAATTCAATTTTACATTGCAATACACAAAATCAGTTGAATAGTTCCAGAGAAATACAATTTTTTAAAATTTGATATCTCAGAAGGTCTGCTTATTAAAAGAAAATATGTTTTGGTGCCTGATTGAAACATTCCTTAAGAAATTGGCCTATTTAATGTTAGCCCCTCAACAAGATTGAATCTTAGTCGTTCTGATCACTAAATAAACAGTTATGTTGTTCAACCTTTTATTTTGAACATAATAAATGCAGCGTATGATTAAATTTATTGTAACATCCCATCACGCATATATTAATAAAAATCGAAACTTAACGTAAACATTAATTTCTTATAAACTGATCTATGTAAAAACATTTTAAATGCTGTTGAATTTGTAACAGGGTTGGTACTTCGAACAAAATTATCTGACTTTTCAATAAATATTTTTTAAAAATTCCAGTCCAATAATGTATTTTGTACTAAAAATAATAACATTTTCTTAAATAACAAAAAAAATAATTTTAGTTTTAATTCAGCTATTTGGAAGCCAATAGCACTTATAAACGAAACATTTCTGTTTAATTTAATTTTATACAGTAGAGAACTTATTATCCGGAGCGATCGGGACCATTGATATTCCGGATAACTGATTTTTCCGGTTTTCTGAATCGCAACAAAATGCCGTTTTTTTCTTTCGTTAAACCCAAATTAAAAAAAATAAATTTAAAAGTCATTTTAAAAAGAAAAACCGATAAAGTAATACACATAAATTTAATAAGATAAAAAGGAAAAAAAAATAATGAAATAAAAATATATACAGGCTTAATATAAAATGAATAAAAAAGTAAAATGGGAAAAGGGGACGGGACCGGCTCCATCTACTTCACAGTTGTCTGCATCAGGACTCAAAACAAGCCACTTTATTTTTTACTTCATTATTAACGAATGAAAATGGAAAAATCATGAACATTTTTTCTTCCCTTCCTAAGCGTGAGAAAGACATCGTTTAAATATAATTCCTGATGAAATTTTTTTTACTTCCCAAAGGAAAAATCTTTCTGCAAAAAACTATCCAATGTTCTGTGACAAAATCGCCGTGATTCTGGCACGCGATTACCATCTAGAAGAGTTTAACTTGGGTTTCAACATTTTGCAAAAATATTAATCTAAATAAGAAGGAAAAACAAGTGCATCACAATCTTATTCCTCATTAAGCTGAGCGATTTTATTTCTCCTCCATTCCAGTTAAACATAAATTGGCAAGCAGGCCCAGACGCTGACATAATAAAAAGAATTTATGTCCTACCACATTCTGCCCTCTCATCACATCCCATTCAAAATGAATGGATTGAAAAATGAGTGCAGTAAAGAATCTAAAAAATGATAAATAACTTTGGAAAAAACTATCGCCAAACGATGAGTAGTTACAACGGTAGCTTTACAAACAAGAAGAAATTATCAAAACTGAACACGACAGAGAGTAAGGTATTAAAATTCAAGCAATTTAATATCAGATTGAAAAATAGAAAATCCATATAAAAGGAGCCGAAAAATGATAAATATCTGCTAATTAACTATCAACCAACGACGTAAAATTATGAAAAAAAATCGTCACAATTCGAACACTCAGAAAAAAGTAATGACTCAAATTCAAAATTTTCACGTCGTAGCAACATGGAATCTATTTGAAAAAATAAGGAAGCAGTCGAAAAACGACTGGAAAAACATGTAGACTTAAGAATAAATAAAAAATAGTCTTGATGTCTGTAATCAATTAAATATTTTCAGAAAAATAAATTTCCATTCTTTACAAAAATGGGCTCTAAAAATAAAAACAGGATCAACTAAAGAAAATTATAGTATAGCGTTACGCTTTCCGCAAGCTCTTAATATTGAGATTAACTGAATTCTGCCCCCAGAATTTGTTTATCAAACCTCTGCTAGAGGATTGAGAAAATTAACAATAAAAAAACAATAACTTATTAGAGATAATAAAACACTATTTAATATTATGAAAGTTTTCAATTTCTTTCTTTTCCAATTAAAGTTTTCTAAGTCTCAAAACAAATGCAAGTTCTGTGAAATTTGGCTCCATACCAAACGGGATGAAAACGAAACTCCTGCGGAGTAAATGTTGCGGATGTCAAACTTGCGTTTGACATCCGCAAAATAAATCTCCCGGCATAGCAACCTCGTTGTAAGTTCTCAAAGTTCAGTGGGTAAAATTTTTTTCTTCTTCCTGTCTATTGCCATGAATTTAGAAAAATTCTACTTATTAGAGAATAAGCAAAAATAAACAAAACCAACCGTTTATTAGTTTAACATTGTCTCACCTTCATCGTCACTGTCTGCCAATCCATCATCCTAAAATAAAAATTAAAGTGTGAATAAGAGGACAAGAAACATAGGCATCAATCATAATACATGTTATTTAATTAATTACTTTATTTTATAAAATACCAACAGAAACATTAAGTGTCTCAGAACAATATATATGTGATAGCTGTAATTACAAACTAAACTATTTTTTTTAAAAAAAGAAAAACATTTTATTGCTTATTTTTATTAAAATCTATAACACTAGTCTCCTTTTAATCAGTTGTAAATTCTTTATGGTAGTTTCCTTTAACTAATAAATCCTTAAGTAAACGTAGAACAAGCAATATATTTTAATTTAAAACAATAATTTGAAAAGTATAGAATAAGGCACCTGGATAAATATTCTAGTTTTATAAAATTAAGAGAGAACACTTTTCAGAGCTTATCAAGCCTCACTGAAACAATGTTTTAATAATTAAAGACATTAATTTTACAAAAAAAAAAAAAAAAACTTAGTAGTTTAGTTTTTTTAAAAGAAATTTTTAAGCCAATTTATTTTACTTTTCATATTATTCTTTAAAAAAGTTTTTAAGTCAAAAATTCAAAGCAAATAAGTACTTATTTATGTTCTCAAAACTTGAAATAATTAATAATTAAAAAAAAAAACAAAAAAAAAAAAAAAAAAAAAAAAAGCTTAGGAGTACAAATGTCAGTAAAAAAAGAAAAGAAAAACTGGTTTTAAATATTACTTACATAATTAAAATCACCGTCATTCATTGCTCCACCACCGCCCATTTTTCGCATCATCTGCAAAAGTATATCAGAATTCCATAAGAATTGTAAGAAGTATAAATCTTATATTTTTTAAAAGGAAAAAGAAATGGAATAAGTTAACATATTTTATTACTTTATTTTCAGAAGGTAAACAATTTAAAATATTTAGCTTAGCGCTAACATGGACAAATATTATAGGCATAGACACAAATAATATTTTAAGACTTATGAGAGAATTGTGAAGTCATCTACTTTGATCTTAAATAATATGTTCAGGCGTATTTAAAAAAAAAAAATAATAATCTCAAACAATATTTCTTTATTTTGCACTATTAATCGGAAATACATAAACATAAATTTTTCTTTATTTTTAGAATTAATCAATACTCATGTGCATCAGTTAAAAAGTGCTAAATAACTACCACAATCGAACTTATTAATTATTTTATCATAACAGATTCTGTAACATAGCTAGTCCTTTGACATAAAGTTTGAATTTTTGATAAAATAGCGCATTTGATTCTTTCTACCGAACAAAATACAATTAAAAATTTGAAAACACATATTTTAAATATATAGGAAATAAGGAACAAATTAAAATTCTTAAGGTAGAATACAAAAGAAAGGTAGATCTAAGTTGCTCTTTAATTTAGAGAAACAAAATTAATAAAAAACCTCTTAGAAGTTACCTCTTCGAAGTCTGTTCCTTCAGGTTCATCTTCTGAATCATCTTCATCTTTCCATTTATTAAAATCAACTTTTAACCAATGGAACTGGAATTAAAATTATTTAATAAATATTACTTTTACTTTTGCAAAAATTGACATTTGAAACTAAAGGTGAAAAAGCTAGAATTCTAAAATCACAGCAGAATCTACAAATTAACGAAATAAGTAAACTTTCTTTTTTGGTCTAGAATTCAATTCTACCATTTAAAAAGACATATTTGCAGGCTTTGAAAGTATGTAACTCAGATAAAAAAAAAAAAAACCTGAGCAAGACTAGCAATAATTTTCAGAAAAATGAGCCTTTGTATCAAATGTGTAAATATCCCAATTATTAAAAACCTAAAAAATTTACTTAGGTTACAAATGTAACATGTTGTGTCACGTTTCAATTCAAAGTCTGCAAACATGACATTCTTAAATGGTGGAATAATTAATTGCCCAAAGCTCATGTCACCATTAGTAATAATTGAAATTGACAATAGAAAGTATTGTATGACCATCGCTGTCAACATGGATAAGAAAAAAAATCCAGTAGATTTTACGAAATATAAATTTTATGATAATTGTTGCATGATGTACTAAATATTTTACATTGGTACTTTTATAGTAATCAAAATAGAAAAACTGCAATATTTCCCAGCTAAGATTAACATTAAATGGACTTTAAATGCTATGTGGCAATAGACATTTAATTCATTAAATAAAAAAAGTTCTGAATAATACAAATAAACAAAATTTTATAAATGAGACTAACTTCATTACGTATTAGCAATACTTATTTAAATATTCAAGCAATCAATAATCTGTGCAAATATTTTATTTCAATAAGGACTTTTTTTAAAGGAAATTTACTCAATTTTAGGGAATTTTTTAAAATGTACTTATACGTATACTGGATAATCTTCAAAATGTATTGTACGTATACTGGATACCTTGAATTGAGATCATTGCATCTATATAAATTATAAGCCTTTACTACCAGAGGGAGAAAAAAAAACCTTGCAAATAAATCCATTCTTTTGCAGATTCTTTAGAAGTTAATGAGAAGCAGGAAATATCTATTTCAGCTAAATTCATGCATTTCACAATCCATAAAAATGACATAAAAAAAAAAAAAGAAACTTTCTATATTGCAAAAAAAAATTTATACAATAATTTCAAGCCACTTTTTGATTTTAGCATACAAACATTAGAAAATTAAAAAATAAGTCATTAAAGAAATAAAAATACACGACTTAGATAAAACTTAAAACTATACCTTTTTATCTTCTTTTAAAAGTCTCTTCCAAAAACCATCTTCTGCCTTAATTAATACAAATTCAATAGCCCTATCCCTAACAGCATGCTTAGAGTCCTAAGAAGAAAATGCATACACACAAATATATTAAACTGTCAAAAACACGCGAATCACAAACTAGGAAAGGGATTTTAACACCTTCATGGAAATTTTACATACATGAAGTTATAGTTGTCACACTTTTCTTGACCAAATTTGAAATTTTCAAAATTTGGTTCAGTAAAAAGTATTTGATATTGCAGCAAATTATTATTTCTTTTATAAGTAAAAGAATTAAAAATATATTTTGCTGCAGATACACAAGTACAAATTTATAAAGAAATATGGCAAAACTGCAACCATTGAGACAGCAGACATTAAATAAATGCATGAGTTTTTGTTAAGTGAGGAAGAAAAAGCAATCAAAATTTAATTAAATTCTTAATCCTAATGGACTGCATTACTTATTGAATTAATTTTAATACTTTACAAAGTGTGTGGTATTAATATTGCTCAAAATTCGTCGTTTTAGTGAACTCTGATTGCAACTCCACAAGAAAATAAGAATTTTATCCTAACTAAATTTTATAGTTAAATTTTTCATTTCCATATGACTTTTTCAGAATTTAATTATTAGACTAATTACAAAATGAGTGTCTAAAATGAAATTTCAAGCTAACTTGTTGAAAGAAAAAAAATAAATAAATAAAGATTTGGGCTTTCTTTTCCTTCCTAAATTTGTTTGAATTTCTAACAAGGTGCGTAGCCAAATTTTTCAACAAAAAATAAGCACTTTTCAAGCACTCAAAAAATATTTTAAAGCGCTTTAAAACCAAAAATTTCAGCATAAGGATAATTATTACCCATTATAAATATGAAGTATTTTTAAATTATCATTTCAAAACAAATTGAATCCTGAAATTGAGAATATCTTGAAAATGTAGCAGAGTTGCACGAGAGGACAAAAATCTTCTCTACTGAATCCAGCTCAGCATACGCACATGCGGATCATCAAGTATTTTATCAAACATGTAAAACGAATGGCGTTTTTTATAAACTACAGCAAAATAGATTGGGGTTGAATTAATTTTGAAAACGTTGGATAGTACTATGTCATTTTGCATAATTTGTGACGAAAATAAATATGGTAAAGAAAAAATCTCAAAAAACACGCTATGAAAAAAGCACCATTAAGGGCTTTTTAAAAAGGCTACACACCCTATTCAGACTTTGTACAAAATCAATACTAAGGAATACTTTAAATACATGTCAAATCCAATTTATTTCAAATGTTTTTAAAATACAATGAAATAGTTAACTTAAATCAACAACTTTGTTATTATAATATTTTGCTTAAAAGTGTATCATTTAAAAAACCAAGAAAAAAAAGAAGTAAAATAAAAATATAAAACTTTTGAAACAGTTTTATGTTAAAACTTGAGATAATCGAGGTAAAGTAAATAACGGTAAATTAATCTAAAGCTAGAATGCATTTTAAAACATCAAAATCAAATAAAAACTTGAAAATCATAGCATTTTTTATACAACATTGAAGGAACAAAAATTCTTTACTTAAAATGGAATATTAACTAAAATTAAAGTATTTTTAATATAGAGAAATATACTAGTGTGAAAAAAAAATTATAACATTTCATTTTTCACAGAAATACATGCTATTAGTTTGACCCCCAGACATCATTATAGATTAGTTTGTTTATTACAGTAACACCTGCTCAGCTACTTAAAAAATGCAGTAAAAAAATAAAAATGTTAACTATAGTCCATTAGTAAAACTTATGAAGTCATAAATTCCAGACCAAAATTTTTGAACTTGATATATATTAAATAAAAACAACTTATATTGTTAAACAAATATGAGATTTCATACTATTATTTAAAACTACATTTTTAAACATAAATTCTTTTATGATAAAATAAGAAATAGTTTTGTATTAAAATTGAGATCATCTTTTTTACAAAATGAATGTTGTTACTGGCTTGACCGGATCATTAGAAATGAACTGGTTGATTACAGCAACATTAATCTAGCTACTTTAAAAATATCATTTACAAAATGTAAATGAAAATCATAAAAATCAGTAGCAATTATTTATCTAGATTAACACTAAATAGGCACACAAAAAAAGTTTTAAAAAAGAACAAGTACAGATTAATAAGGAACTAGTATTTACAACAATTATTTAAAGAGAAAAAAATATGTAAACCAAAATAAATTACATGACATGAAGCAGATTAATAACATGTTATTAATAAGTTGATGTTATTTTGATTTCCGTTTTTCAAATACTTTCTCAGTTGTTAAAACTGAGAAAGTATTAGCAGCAGTATTAACAGCTTGGGACTATTGTGACTCGGAATTTTATGCTTTATTTCTTAAATTTTCATCTTGCTGCATTATTTATTTTATGTGAGTGTGTAAATATTTAAAATCCATCAAGGTATTAACTAACTAAAAAAAAAATAAAAATGAGATCAAATTTGGAGGGAAAGAAAGTTAGAAACAGCAACTTTGAGTCAATATAAAATTTATCTAACACAGCCTACAAGCTTTAAAATATAAAAATTTTTCCTCCTCTTTTGTAAGTCTTGACAATTAAGATTGCAGTGTTTATGATGGAAAATTTTCAATGCATAACATTTCTCTTGGATAGTCTTTCATTAATCAAAAGTTTTTAAATTTACTTTTACTACCAGCCTTGGAGTTAAAAAAAAAGTAAAAGATAAAAACTAAGTTAAATTTTTATTGCAAGCTATTACAATAGATTTTCCCGATTGGAACTATACTTTGAGAATAAAGAATCTATCAAAAGAAAAATGTATATTTAGCTAGTAGTATATTATACCTGCTTAAATAACGAGATTAATATGGGTTTAAATTACCATATTTAAGGTTTACCCTTGACCTATACTATATTACCCTTTATACACTTTAAAACGTGATAAAAATCTGATAATGAAAAACCAGGTAATATGAAGTGAATATTTTTCTCTTTGATTGTATTGCCTGCATAAAGTTAAATAAAATATTACTTTCAATACGCATAAAATATAAAATCTCTCAAAACATCTATGCTTAGCTTACCTCAGGTTTAATTTCTTTCATGAAGTCAAGAGATACTTCATATTCTTTCATCTCTGTGCCACCTTTACCTCTGTAATTATAAAAATCTTTAAAATCAAACGTTGCAAAACAATAACTAATATTTATGCAGCAACCATCACATTCAAGCAATCAATACTGATACACTGTTGCAGATAGAACAAGAATTTTTATTCAACAGCCAGTACACAAACTTTGTTTTGGTACATTAATCTTAAGCAAACACAACTAATAGTAATAACCTCTGCCTGCTATTTATAATGATAAAAGAGAACTGATAAAGAAAGAAAATTTTAATCTTAAGAAGCTGTATTAAAATTAACAATAAAGCAGTAGTATAAATTGAAAATGTAGTTTTCCTACTTAGCTTTCTACAAGCTTTTACATAATAAAACAAATAAAAGAACGTATACCAATTATTCTTAGATAACTAAACATTTCTTCAATCAGACTGCATTTTGTAATCTACCAGTGGAATGATTCAATGCAGAATAACAATGATTTAAGTCTATCTATGGTTATTTTTTAGCTTAAAAACCAGGGTTTGTTGATTTTAATCAGCTTGATTTAAATCACAATTTAAATCAACTGATTTTTTTAAATATGTATATTGATTTTAAAAGTTAAAAAACAGTGTTTCAATTATATTTGATATTATTGATATTTTTATTACTTTCTTTTCTTAGTTTTAAAATTTATTTTAAATAAATTGCAACATTAATTTTAGTTAACGAAATTACTTACTTGACGTGTGTTACATTCCAACACATTTAAAATTACATTTTCAAAAATCTATTGATTCTTGAGATTGAAAGTACAGATTTAAGTAAACATTTAATGCTGTCTTAATAGAGACTTGCATAGATGTAGAAAGTAATTAATCAGGGATGAGATTGGCCAAAAGGTAAAAAAGCTGAATTTTCACGTGAGTAAATCGTGATTTATAGCAAAAATATCAGTAACATTCTCATCCAGTTTCGCTGATGTTGTAATGCCTATATATAGCAATAATCATCGATGGAAAAACTGCCACGTTTATAGTAACTAATTCAAGAAAAAAAATTACTTTTTGCAGGAATCGTGATCTTGGATTTTAAAATCGTGTGAATATAAATCACGATATTGAAATCACGCGAATGAAACTCGATATTGGATTTCAAAAATGTGAAAATACAAATCACGATGCGTAATTTTCAGATCGCGTAACTACGAATCAAGATGCATAATTTTTAAATCGTGTGAATATGAACCCAAAGACTAATTTTTGAATCGCGTGTAAATACGAAAATAGCTGTTGGATATTACAACCGCAAATATGAATCACGACATTGGATAAACTCGTGTGAATACGAATTGTTACATAGAATTTTAAAAACGCTTCAATACAAATCGCGATATTGGATTTTTAAATCTCGTAAATCAGAATTGCAATGAACGATATTGAAATCGCGTGAATAAGAATCGAAACTTTTAAATCAGGTAAATGCGAAAATACGAGCTATCTAGTGACGGGTAAAAATGAGGAAAATCTTATTTTCTGCTCGTAAAAGCTAAAATAATTAGATATGTAAAAGGGTTGGCAGCTACGTAGTTTGAATTTTCTATATACCTTTCGATATATTATATCTATATATCAAATGGGAAATAAATATAATTATTTTATATCAATGACTAAATTTTCAGAAAAGGTTGAAATTCGAGAGACAAAAGCGAAAATCCGTTTAAAAGCGGAAAAATCTCATCCCTAAATTAATAAACATGAATTTTTTTCAAAAAAAAAAAGTGCAAATGTTAATTAGAATTCTACCTTTTGATTGAAAAAGCATGGAATTAAAATCTACATTTGATGTAGGATTAAAAAGGAATATTTTAATATAAAAATATATTGATTAAATATTTATTTATTGATGAATGACTACATTTATAAACACAACCTGTTACATTTATTTTGTCATTTTAAAAATCAAGAGGAAAAAAAATCACAAATTTAAATTAAAATTATGGTTTGCTAATTGAAACTTTGCTTTAAAAGTACAGGGGTCTGTCCAAGCCAAATTTACTACCGTTTAGCGGTACCTTCACAAATTCAACTTTAGAAAAAACTGCAGAATAATTTCACAAAATACTTTATCTTAAAATTTTATTTCTGTGTCTTGTAAGAAACGATAAATCCATATTTTTACAGTATTTCCGTGTTCATTTTTTAATAAAATTTTTTATTTTCACAAATTATGTCTAAATTTTCACAATATAGTGCCTCTCAAATAAACCTAAAGAGACTCTTGAAGTACTCTTTAAATTCTCTATTTCATCTAGTCTTTAAATTTAAATCTTACATTTGTTCCCAAATGGTTGCCATGCATTCAAAGCTATGTATTATAACGAAAAATTATTTTACTAAGTTAGAGCTCCTAAAATATTGTTATAATATAGTTTTAATGTTAATTTAATTTTGACTAAACATTTATAAAGTATTTTTAATCATAAATTAAATTTCTTACAGTGTATTTGAATAAAAAAAAAATCTGATTTAAATAAAAAAAATCACGGACCCTGTTAAAAACTATTATTAATTTAAAAATATTTAAGTATCTAAACTTTTGAAGGTAATTTATATTCATTAATTATAACAACTCATATATACTTGTGTAAAATTAGATTTTTTACTCCTGTTAGTAATGTAGTGTCCAAGTAGTGTATAGGAATCAAATAGCACCATAAGTGCTCATGGGCCCTACCATGAACTACCGGGAATGGAATGAAGATTCCCGGCTGGAAAGTGAAACTGGGAAAGTTTGGTTCCATGAACGCTCAAAACCGTACCATGAACACTCCCTTGGAATCAGACGTTCCACGATAACTCGCTCTCAGGGCGTGGCTAAAATTTAACCAATCACACAATTTACTTTAGATTTTCTTTTTGAGTTTGGCAGCATTAGCATGAGTAAACCGAAACGAGCTTCTGCTATTTAGATAATATTTTTGATTACTTATTGTTTTCTTTTTATAATGTTTTTTGTTTCCATTAGACTAAAAAAACATGAACAGCGAATATTCTTCAATTTATTATACATATAGTTTTATTAATTAAAAACTGTCATATTTATCATGTATAATTCATAAAATAAAATCATTTTTCATAATAAATATTTCTGATATATCCCTTAATACGTTTCATTATTTATTTAAAATACTTTTTAAAAAGTACAACTCTTAAAATAATGATCATATTTTAATGAATTATGATTCAAAATTTCGTGCCTGAGAACTGCAAGTAGATAGATTACTAATTATACTAGTTTTTATATCAAAACTAATTTCCAGAGAGAATTCAAATTTTATCAGACAAAAAAATTAACGCTTACCTTGATCTCTTTGAAATTAATTTAATTTCAGAAAAGTTCATTAGTTTTCAATTAAAATTGTAACTAGTATATGAATGACTAAAAAGTTACTACTTTGCTTATTACTTTGGTTTATTTGTTACATTATAAAAGTGACTCTTTTTACTGATAGTTAAATATGTTCACAAGAAATTAATTTCTAGAACTGCGTAAATTTTTTTTAAATTTTTTTTCGTGATTTGTAAAATCATTTTACGTATGAAATACTTAAAAATTAAAGTTCAGGGAACTACTTCCGCAGCTTTTGTAGTATATATTTTAATGGAAGAATGAGAATAAAAATTTTTAAAATGAGTAAGAGAAGAAATAAATACAAATTTCATAAATATTTTTTGAAACATTTTTATTCTTTTTTGTTTTTCTTATTATAAATAAATTGTTTACTTTATAATACATCATGCCTGTAAAAAATTCTTTTAAATTTGCTGCCATTGGCGTATAGTATAAAGAACTATCGTTCGAAAGGAAGTTAAATATTGTTGAATTAAAAGTTCATCGAAAGAAAATTAAAAAAAGAAATGATTGGAACTTCCGAAAAAGGTATTGACCAAGTAATACATCCCATAATAATAACATAGAAATAGTAACAATTATTATATAATGAGAGCATAATTATTTTTAGTTTGCTGTAATTTCTTAGTTAACTCTGAAAGTATCTTTTCGTTCACACATACTAATGAAACAAAACATTTCTCTTTTAATTATAGTCTTGAAAATGGCTCGGGCACGTTTATCATTTAGAAATTTTGTTATCTTCTCTTAAGAAATAGAAAAAAAAATTAAGACATTCATCGACGAAATATCGTATTCAGTCTTTAAAAATTCATCATTCCCTCCTTGGAACGACGATTCCAGGTGCCGGAGACTGGTTGGAATAAAACCGATTCCAATTCCAGCCAAGAAACTCTTTCCAAGGTGTTCGTGGTGGGGGAAAATAATTCCCGTTGGAACGTGACGTCATTCCCAGATGGAATTTGATTCCATGGAGCTCATGGTAGGGTTCCATGACAGTCGTGGTAAGGTCGAAGGCGAATAAAGCAGTAGATAGTCTGTAAGGTTTGAGTCTATGCTGTAGAGTTTAGGCAAAGTAGAAGGTCAAATAAAATTTTTGACCCGGAGAAAGTTCGATTTCAGGACAGTGAGGAAAAATATTGAAACTTCTTAGGTCATATGTAAAGTATATAGCTAACTATTGTCTATAAAATTTCTTATTCCACAACGTTTTGAAGTTTGCAGGGGTCTATCTAGGTTTTTCTAAGAGGTACCTATTTTGTGAAAAATTTTATTAAAAAATCAACACAAAAATATGGATTTATCGTTTCTTAAGGGATACAAAAATAATATTATAAGAAAAAGTATTTTGTGAAATTACTGTTTTTCCAAAAGTCAAATTTGTGAAACTACCGTTTTTCCTGAAGTTGAATTTGTGAGCAAATTCAATCTGGACAGACACCTGGTTTGGTACACATCAAAACTAGCATGCATATAAAAAATTAAAGAAAAAACTAGTCTTACTTGAAATAAAGTTTGTCTTTTTCAATTTTTATGGTGGGACTCCGGCAATCTTCAAGTTGAACTTTAACATATAGAAGATTTTTCCTTTGAGCCCAATAAATTGGCGGAGGTAGTAATCTATAAAAAAAATGAAGTCTACATTTCGCATTTCTTTACTCACAACTCTAATTAAACTAATTATCTTATTAATATTGGTGACTTATAACAAATTTGAAAAAAATAAATTTTTTTTTTTTACAATTGATCAGATACAAATTCTAAGATACTTAAAAGCAAAAAATATTATTTAAGCTAGTATTTTAAAGCTTATAATTAAATGATTTAAACAATGATAAAATGATTATTATGATAGGAGTAATTTAACATCTAAATTATATTAAAAATTAACGTTTAAGAAAATCTTGGGAAGCAAATTATTTAGAAGCAGGCCGAACATGATTTTCACTTATATATTTCCGTTCTTGGCACCAAATATAATCAAATTAATAAAAATATTCAAATAATTTTTTTAATCATTAAATCTTAAAGACAGACAAGAAAATATTTCACGCTTATCATGACTTTCAATTCTTTACAGGTTTTTTCCCCCTTTACCGATTAGCACGCCATGCGTTGTACATATTTAAGAATAACTGTAATAAATATTTACACTTAAAATGGTATAAATTTCTTACTTAGCGTCTCCCATTACTAGAAATTTATTATTTAAAAGTTAAATTGAAGACAGAAAATAATTAAATATTTAAAATACAATTATTTTCTTCAGCAAGTCCAACCGCTTCAAAGACATGCGCAAAATAGGAAAGATTGAGATATTGCCATCCGTTTTATGCAATAATTTGGAGGAAGGAAAAAAATAAAATTAATGATTAAAATTTTTTAATCATATTTTTAAAAATTTATGTCTCTAATTTTCACATAAATTTACTAATAATTTGATTGCCTACTTATCATTAATTTTATTAAAGTTCTCAGCGATGAACATAACAGTTATAAAATATCTGTTATTTCTGAATACTAGGGAACAGAGACAAGTAAATTTATAAAAGCATTTAAACTTAATTATTTACATGGCTACAGAAGCAAATTTTATTAGTCATTTCAAAAATAATAAATTTGTTATATTGACTTAGTTTTTATTAAGATAATAAATTTAATCAAAACAAATAATCGTCGGAAAATTATTTATAATAAAAAGAAAAAAATTTGAAGATATTGAAGGTTATTGAGGAAATTTGAAAGGTAAATAAATGTTTCTATAAGTAATAAAGGACATTTATTTACTTAAAATTTCACATAATTTAATTTAATTATGTATCCAAGACGGGTGATCACTCGGAACACCAGGTTAGGGGGCGTAGAACGAGATCCAGTTTTAATTATCTCCAAATTATTATTTTAAAAAAAAATCGCTTGTTAGAAAAATATATTGATGGATTTTTATTTTTCAGTTATGTATTCTTACATTAACTTTCTTTATATTTAAAAGTTCTTTACGTTTTACTGGAGATGGAAATGGAAAGGAAAGTGTGCAGCATGAAAGCCATTTTCTTTTTCTTCTTCTATTTTTCACATTGAAGTTTCACTTTTTCCAAGATAGATATTGTGGTGTAACTCACTACGATTATTAAACATCGATTCACTAGTATATAAAACATGCTAACTTGATTCAAACTTGAAGTACCTCTTGATAGATGAAGGTTGGCATCGTCTAATGGTCTCTCTCTCCCCACAATATCATCTCTAAACCATTAAGCAAACAAATATCAGGAGGCTGGAACTAAGACCAGTGAATAAGTACATTAACAACAAATGAGTTTATAAACCTATAAATTGTGTAACAACAGTCAGCAACAATAATTTTGTAATTATTTTTTAACAAAATTGCTCTATATTGAATTTAAAATATTACATAAATACGTGCATTTTATTTTTTGCGTATTTCTTCATATGGGTCATTCTCAAGAAAACTGTCATTTTTCAGTTCATAAAATCCCAAAAAAGTAAAGTGAATAAAAGACTCTGAAACTTTTTATATTAATAGAAATATGTAATGGCATTATAAAAAAAGTATATATCCTATAAATTATACTTACGATTTAAATTAATTAATTTTTTAAATAATTAATTTATAATTAATTAATTAATAATAATTAATAATTAATTAATTAATTTAATAAATAAATTAATTATTTTAATAAATCAATTTATTAATTTATTAATTTATTTTTCAAAATTAATTAATAAGTAAATTAATTATTTTCACTATTTAAAAAGTGAGGGAATGACACTAATAGTGAGGGAATGATATTTTATTTTAATACATGTTTTTATCTAAGTTACATCTACCTAAAGTTTGAAAATGATAACATACTAAGTATATCTAATATTTATTATAATTTAGTCTTATATATTTAATAGTTTTTACAGGTTTGGGAAATAAAATTGGCTGGCACGATTGAACAAAAAAAAATTTAATAATATACTCATCTTGAATCATTCCCTCACTTCAGCGTCATTCCCTCACTTTATACACTAGTGAGGGAATGACGAATTCAATAAAATTTAAAAATAACAGTTAGGCCTAATTAATTTCTGAAGTCAATCACATACAATTATATTCATACAAGAAAGCAACATATAATTATCCACTTTCTCGATGAAGTTGTATTTTATTTTACTCTAAAAAATGACATGAGGGAATGACAAATGTAAAAAATTTTACCTGGTTTGATTCATTCAAATTTATTCCACAGCAAAGCTTCTTTAAGTTGAAGATGGAAACATACTGCAATTTTGTTCTATGATGCCAGTTGTTAACTTCTGAAGTTTTTATTAAAATATTTTTATTCTAAGAAGATTGCAGGTGATAAGAACATTGTTGTGAGGGAATGACGCGAAACACTGGGGACAAAGTTTAAAATAGTGCTGTGTTAATATTTTTATCAGAAATTAAATTTAAAATTGATTTTCTGAATTCTATATTTCAGTATTCTGAAATAAAAAACACGAATTTGTAAAAAAAAAAATTTTATTTCAGAAACAATTTTTTTCTTTTTTTAAATCAGCAGTGGGGACAAGTGAGGGAATGACATATTGGTATATTTTAATTACCTAAAATAAATAAAAAATAAAAATTGATAATTTTATTTTTATTCTTTTGTTAGGTTGCATTCTGAAGGACACTTTCCCTGAAAATTTTTTCTTCGTAAGCTGTAAAACAAACATAAAATATACTGGGGACATGAAAATGACTGTTTTTGTGAGAATGACCCATATCTTGAAAACATAAATTCGTTTAAAGTGTTTATAAACGAATTTAAAAAATTTTGCACCCAATTATAAAATCCATTTATCCAAAAATAATTACATGCAAAAAATATCTTTTAGTAATTAATTATTATATTATAATCATAGTCAAAAATTTTTTGAATTGTAAGATATACAATTTTTGACATCATTTCAAAGAATGTTTTGCATGGCGAAATTCAAAATTTGATCAAATCGGGTGAATAGTTTCCGATATATCGAATTTTAAAATTGTCGTAATTTTAAAATTTGATTTCTCAGGAGCTCTTCGATCCATTTCGTTTACATTTTGTATTTTGCCACGTAAAATTACATTCTTTAATATGGTGTCTAAAATTATATACCTAACAATTCAAAAGTGTTTTGACGATTATTAAATAAAATAAGAAAACATAATAAAAAATAAATGATGAATATATACTAAAAGTTTGCATCTTTGGCTGAACGAATTTTACAAATGTGTGCAAATTTTTTGCAATGCCCTATATTTCGGGGGTCGGAAATCTGAATCTGTCGAAAGAAAGGTATGCTTATGCTGAAAAAGAACTACATTTTACTGTTTTATTTCGTAACTTAAAATATCGTTTGCTCGAATTAATTGACATAGTTGAGGCCACCACCTCGAGCCATAAAGATCGAGTCCTAGGACTTACAAGATTTGATCATTAGATCAAAAATTATTCAAGGTGGTTCGTTTATTTTTTGCGCACCATGATACCATGCGATCATGTAAAGACAAAAATGAAATTCAGTTTCACTTTAGTAATAAACTTACATATTATCTTAATTTTTGACAATATGATTTTAAATCTCGAAATAAGTGAAATTCAACTTATATAAAAAAGGCGGATCAATTGATCACTGGAAGCGGCTAATATCTTATTAAATTTAAAAACAAGTGTCTTAAAATTTCAAAATGAATCTCATCTTCAATTTAAGGAGTGCACGTCTCATTTTTGGCTATTTTTAGACTATTTTAACTGGGTTTTTTTTCAAGTGCAGGTAAACTAATTGAAATTTTTTATTGCAATAATTACGTTTTCTTTTTATTTCGGATGTAGGGTATTTCAGTTTATGAAAGCATTAAACTATACTTTTATTCACGTTTTAATAACATTTCGTAATTAATTTTTAAAAAATTTCTGAAAATAATCTAAAACTAAATAAACGTATAGTATTTGCTTCATTGGATTTTAGACTGGGGCAGGGAAATAAACTACTAACAATGAAGAAAGAAATGCATGGAGCAAAAAATATTCAGAAATATTGCTCTAAGATGTTAAAACATCTCTAAGTTTACAGCCATCCATATAATTCAAAAGTCTACAACAATGACACAAGAGAGACAGGATTCTTCGTCAATAATTTCTATCGAAAATTAAAACCGCAAAAACAGTTGATTTTGTACAGTTTAAAATTGTTTGCGTCTGCTAAAGCACGAAAAAATAAATTTTAATGTTTATGCTGTTATATTTGTATGTCATAAGAGAGAATGTTCATTAAAAATATTGCCTATAATAAATATTTATTCTAGAATACTTGAGGTGCTATTCTCATTAATTAATCTAACGACTTCCTTTTTAAACCTTGAATACGTTGCTTGTTATTTATGAGGCAAATATTTATGTTTTAGTTTTAAGCTTGTTTAACTGTTTGTTACCTTATCTACGTCACAAAATAAAAATTTCCCTAGTTGTCCATTTTACTCTTAGAATGTTTTTTGGCTTTTGTACTATGGCTAATATTTTAACTACTCCTACTTACGAAAGCAAGAACATGTAAGTTTGAAAAAATGGACTTTGCTAGCTCAAAATATGTTGAAGAAATTGGGTTTAACTTAAAAATAAAATGCGTGTTTGAAAAAAAATGGGCAGAGCTCTTGGAATGCTTTAAAAAAAATGGACATGGCTGGAAAAGGGCAATTGAAAAAAAAAATTCTCCTATCTTAAAATGTTCGTTGAAAGAATGGACATATTCTGTTTTTAAATCACTTTTACGACTATTGTATTTTATAAAATTAGATAGTAAATAATAGTTATTTGCAGTAGTTTTGTTCCTGCTTGATTTACTCCTTTACCAACATTAATTTAGATGTTAAAAACTGCTTCATTGTTTAACTTCGAAAAGGCACGTTTTGTGTTACGTTCAGTTTTTAATTTATTTCTTTTCCAAGATTGACTTAGGTATTAAGAATGACTTCATTGTTTAACATTGAAAAGATGCGTTTCATATTACGTTCAGTTTAAATTATTCCTTTTTCAAGATTAACTTAGGTACTAAAAACGCCTTCATTGTTTAACTTCGAAAAGGTGCATTTTGTGCTATGTTCAGTTTAATTTATTCCTTTTGAAAATTAAACTTAGGTACTGAAATTGGTTCCATTGTTTAACTTCGAAAAGGCACTTTTTATGTTACGTTCAGTTTTTAATTTATTCCTTTTCCAAGATTGACTTAGGTATTAAGAATGACTTCATTGTTTAACTTCGAAAAAGGGCGTTTTGTGCTACGTTCAGTTTAATTTAATCCTTCTC